CACAGTTCTCCAAAAATTAGACTTCACCACTCCTTGGTTGCAAATTTTCCTCCTGTAGCCTATCAATACCTCTTACCTGCATTTGGCTCTAAACCCATATCCCCTCAAACTTCATTTCCAGACAGCACAAATACCTCCAGCAATTTGAGAGCAGTAAATGACTGTTCTGACGTCTGGGGTTCTTTAATGTGTTCTTGTGATTATGCACAGTGCACAATGCCTATTCTGTTTGGAGTTAGAGCAACAGGAAGTCCCACTGCACTCACTGGCAGGTTATGAAAACCACAAGTGTTTATCAGAAGATGAAGAGAAATGAGCAGGGAATAAGCCTCTGAAAAATCCTTTGAACCCTTCCTCACCTCCCTATGCTACCCTACTGACTTCCTGGGGTAGCCCCTCTGGAAATCTGGCAGCTAATGACTTGAAAGGGCTCAGACCTTCTGGTTCACTGCATCCGAACTCCTGACCATTTTCTATACAAGGGCAATAAAACCAAGGGAAGAAACTGTCCATGTTAAATAGCTGCTGTGTAGTAAAGCCAGGTCCCTCAATCAAGTCTTTGACCTGAAGTTATATGCTTATTCCACTACTGAATCTTTTTCAAGGTAATGAAGAATCCCACAAATTGCCTTGGAAACTTTCCATTAACACCATACTTGCCTTTTCCCAGGCACAGGAAGATAGGGCAGGGATTGGCAGGTGACATTGCAAAGCCATCAGGTTCAGTAAGGTTTCTGCTTTGCCTCCTAACACAAATGGAAATAGCCCAGATCATGCAAAGGTAGAACAACTTGTACTTCTCAAATGCTCTGACACACATTTCAGAGCACACCCAGTTTACTTGGTGGGGGGGTCAGTGAATAAGCACCTCTACTCTAGTGAATCCTGCTACTGTGGGCATCTGAAAATCTCATCTCAGCCCCTTTACTTCTCCATGAGGCATCTATAGAACCATTTCCCTCAGAAATGTGTGAGCACTGTGGGGTTCCTCAGGAGGCACACTTGGTACCAAGTCAGCATGCACAGGATCCACTGTTAGCTCTTGGAAATAATCCTTCAAGAAATCCTCAGCAGCCAAAGTGTCCACTGGCAGCTGAGGCTTAGGCCCTGCCTGACTTTCCAGTCTAACCTCCAAAGATAGCCTGTGGCTCTGATACTCCAAGATCCCTTTCAGCATCACTGTACTTGCCTTCTCCCAGGAGCTCCCAAAACACATTAGTGTTGTCACCTCCCTGTTCCTCCCACCCACCCTCCACAATAGTTGCTCCTTTGCCAGCTGCAACACTAGCGCTGCTGGAAAATTTCCCAGCCCCACCTCCATGCCAAGAGCTAATGAATGCCCCCTCCCATTTCCACAGCATTTGGTTTGCATCTCAAAATTACTACGGCCTCTGTTTGATGGCTGAGTATCCCCACTCTTCCTACCCATCAGTTAGTGGCTGGAGTTCAGGGACACTGCCCAGTGTGCCTTCGTTGTGTGCACTATAAAGACCCCCCTGGAGCAACATAGAGAGAAGAGAGCTCTGCTGGAAATGATGGTGCAGAAATGTGTGAAAAGGTCCAGCCTCCAGGTAATCCATCTTTCCATTGTTCTCGGGGCCCCCTTTTGTACCTGAAACATCCCCCAGCAATCCCAGCCCCACTGGCTCCCTTCCTACATCAAGGAAGCCTGGGGCCTCAGTCTGGGTCTGGGACAGAAAGGCCCAGGGTAGGAGATCACTAGAGAAGGGCTTGAGCTACAAGACCAGCAGTGTCCACTTCCAGAAAGGCATAGCACAAAGGCTTCACTGGCTGCCAAAAATGGTCTCTGAAATCAGATTAGCAGGCTGAATTCCAACTCCTTCATGGTCTTGGATGAGTTCTTTTCTGAGCCTCAGGTGACTTACCTGTAAAATGTAGAGGTCTGCCTCACAAAAATGTGAGGAGGGTAAAGAAACATCCATGAGCCCTGGCTGGGCATGCTGCACTGACACCTGCTCTTTTATATCCAGTTGGGTCCAGAAGAAGGGAAGCATGGCTTGGACTTTCTATAGTTCACAAGCTTTTAACCAAGAATCCCATCTCTATCAACATATACTTGATCTTTCAACAAAACTCTGAAAGGCCCACTTAAGTAGACCTCATGGTCCTCCTTGGCTGACACTCCACGGTTCAGAGTTTAGAGTATCCACAACTTGTAAATGTCATGGAAGGCAGCTTCCCTGAGGCACACAGAGAACAGCTTCTTGGGCCCTCAGCCTGCACATTGTTGTCCATCCCGGTGGACCTACTTCACACCCTGAGTTGCACTGTGGCCACTGGCTTTGGGCCACTGACTCTGGAGGTATCACTATCATGGAGTCTTGCTCTCTTTAGAGGACCTCCACCCGGGTAGACAAGGCACTGTCCTTTCCTCCAGAAAAGCAGAGATCGCTGGCAAAAACAATCTTTTAGGAGACTCTGGGTGTGGTAGTTAATCCTGTTAGCTCAATCCCGTTAGCTCAACTGGTTTGAGAGATGCCGAGGAGAGTAGCATTAATTTTGGGTGTCCAGGTAAGCCGTGGAGGGTTGTTCTTGGGGAATATATCTGGTCCTTGGGCCCGTCCTCTAGCTCTTCCCAACCCTTTCTGCTTCACCAGCAGTCATGAGGTGAACCAGCTTTGAAATGCCTTTCCACCATGTAGCTACCTTGGAGCCAGCCAGCTGGACTGAACCCTCTGGAACTGTGAGATGAGATAAACACTTCCTCCTTTAAGCTGTTTTTCTCAGGTATTTAGCCATAGCAGCGAAAAGCTGACCAATATACTGAGAGAAAGGAGAAACAGCTGAGTGCCAGAGAAAGGTGAGAGGAACTTGAGGCTAAACATCACTTACGTTAGCAATCCTGTCCACATGTCAAATACAGACAAGTTCCTCCACATTCTTCTTTAAGTCCAAGTATGGTGTCCTGAAGGGCAGCTGGATGAAGGCAACAATGCAGAGTAAACAAAGCACTTGAGGACGATCAATCCTGTCCAAGGGGGCCAAAGTTCCAAATCTAAAGATGTACCCCTGCAGGATGTGAGCCCACAGGGAGTGCTCTCTTGAGTCCAGCCCTCTCGAGTGCGTATCACTTCAGTGATCACCTGTCCTTTCATGCTTATTCTTCAGGAATCTCCAGCCTCCAGATCTGGCCCTTCAGTGCCTTGTCATCACAACCCCTTTCCTCCCATCCTCTTCTCTCAAGAGCCTTAGGGATGTTTCTACCCACATCCTCAACCCCTCGTAGCCTCTGCATTTGCCCTCGGTAGCACTTTTCTTTTGGCACCACAGGCTTTGTCTACCTCTCCAGCTATCAGATCCAATAAGGTCAGGAATGTCCTTCAAATGTTGCTCACCATCACTCACTAAAGGACTGGACCAGTACAATAGCCTCTCAGACCTCTCCAGGTAGGATGATGGGATACTAGGCTCTGAAAGTTAACGTGCAGCCTGGAAATCACCTGCATGTTCCCTCCTCACACAGCAGGCATGTGACTGCCAGAGGCTGCAGGAAGTTACTGTGCGTACAGCTGTGAATCAGGCCTTAGGAAGAGGAACAGTGGCTTCACTTTAGCACCTCCACAGAGGGGAAGTGGAACACTGCACAGCTGTCCTACTTCGCCAGCCTCCTTCCTAAACTCTTAGCTTCTGAAAGTTTGTGTTACCTGGGATGCCAAATGGCAACAACTGTCTTCTCGGACACTGAGAAGAGCAGGAAAAGTAAGTGCCAATGCCATACTCAGGCAATGAGGACAGACACTACTAGCTGAGCGGTACCAATTGACACTAGGTGTCTTGTTTAACGTGAGAGTTGAACACAATCTCAGTGTCAAAGGACAGGAAAGACCAAACAGCACCTGGGTCCCCAGTTCAAGGTTCCAGCTGCCACTTGTTATCTGTAAGACCAAGATCAGTTCTGAGTCAGTTCCCTCATTCTCCAAATAGGCATAACAATCTTCCCTCAAGGGGCTGAAGGGACTAAATAAGCTTAGTAGACCATAGCCGTACAGCATGGTATATGGCATGTGGAATAGTTAATAATAGAAAACAATACCCACCTGATAGTTTGTGCTCTTGTGCAAGCCCTAGCCAAAGGCCTCCAGAATCAGCAAATCCTAATTAAATAGGAAGCAGGATATTTGCCCAGATTATCTCTACTATATCCCTCTTATTTCTAGTCTGAAGTTCTTTCTTAATGACTCTCTTTATTACACTACTGCTCTGCAAAGAATTTTCATAGCCTTCTGCCTCTGGAGGAATTTGAAGCTAGATGCCATCTGAGCTCTTAAAAATAAGCAAAGTAACAAAACTGATGACCCCATGCAGAAAAGATAGCTTTAAGAGGGGATAAGCCAAGGACTAGGAGCTGCCACCTGGCTCGAAGGCTTCTCTAACATACCTCTGTTCTATCTCACCCCTTCCTGCTTTAAGATGATCTGACTGTACAGATCAACGTAACGAGAAATTCTTACTACCTGGTAGGTTCCCCAACATTCCATTCCCATAGGACTGATATCTGTGATGGTGGCAGACCTCTGTGCAGAATGCTGTACAAATACTGCTCAAGTCTCCCAGTTCATCAGCCCCATGGAGACCTACAGTGAGATTTAAGTGAGTGTTCCTAAAAAAGCCCTCATCCTCACCCATCACATGAGGAATCCCACTTACAGCAGGCTTCTTTCTCAGAGACTTCCCAGAGCTGAGGGACAGTGGAGGCAGGGACCAATGACAAAGAAATGTCAGAAGCAAACCCCAAAGGCCCTAGAACATACATGTCTTTTCACAAAAGGGCAGCACTTTCCACAATGACCAGTGACACGCAGGAGAAAAACAGTTACCCACTTTGCAGATGAGGAACAGATTCATCTTCACCTCTACTTCTCCCAGCCCCCGAACTTCAGTGTCCCCACACTGTGAGATACCCCAAGAACAGAGCTGTGAGCCCTCAGGGAATGTACTATGCTGCAGCAGGCAAAGACACAACACACCTGATGGACTTTATAAAATCATGTTTATTTCTTTGATAAAAAGTTGTCCCTATAACACAGGGGTCTTCAGTTTTTATTTTTGCATGGTCATACACAGTCTGAATGACTAGCTTACAATCCAAGGCAGTTTTATGTTTTGCTCTTCAGAATGGTGTTGCTGTCCACAATGACAAAGAATTACACTAATTCATCTGCACAGACTATAGGGCTGTTCTCGCAAAGTTTTCTCACTTCTTACTTAAAAGGGGGGATTCAAAAGCAAAGCACTCTAGAAAACTCTAATGGTACCTGTAATAAAACTCTTGGCTGAAGTAGTCATCCATGCTGCTCTGGTGTGACAGAAGTCAACACAAGGCTAAAATCTGGTGGAGGTTCTCACTTCCTCTTCTTTGGGGCATATAATTTTTCTTCAAGTGGGACTGGGACCATCCCTTTACACTCTTTTACTTCCTGGGTCAGAGGGTGTTTTACCACATTTGGTCTAATCACATCAGTGTCCCGGGACAAGTGCTCCATTATACTCTCCACGGCTGTCGGTGGTGCATAAAAATCCACTAAGAAATATCTGAAAGAAAAAAAAAATTGAGAATTCTAGTATCCTTAAATACAACAATATTACTATGTTAGTCAATGGTTTCATTTCACTCTTGGCAGATAGGCATCAACTACTCACAAACACGTCTTTGTCAAATACACTTTCAGCTGACCAGCTAAGAGTGCAGCAGTACACTCAACCTCCTTTCCAAGGCCTTTTCCGTTATACTGCTGTGAAAACATTAACCTAAACAAATTCTATAGCAGCAAAAAGGCACTGGCACTTAAGTGTGAAATACAGAAAATCTGGTAAAATTATAAGTAAAAGGACAGAATTTTCAGCCTAACAAGATTGAATTTTTAAAAAACCATCAATTGATATTTTCTTTGAAAACATCTATTAGGTAGCCTTATAGTTTTCCAAAGGATTTTATAAGTGACTTAGTGCAACGAAGAGAAACAGTAAGGACCACTGGCTACCCTTCATAAATAAAGAAAAAGCTTAAGAAAGTGATGAGACTCATTTAAGACTACTCTGTATGTTCAAGAAATGACAAAGAATACAAAGGAAATTATTTGAATTTCGGTTAAGAAAAAGAATGCACTTTCATTTACTCAGACCACATTGCTGCTAAGAAACATCCCAAGCGGCTCACCGGTCTCCAAAGATTCACAGCTTCAGAAGCAGTCACTGGATGATGCTACAAGAAAATATGCATGCTTCCTTCTCTGCACATCTATCTTCTCAGCTCTAAAAGTTTGAGCCTCCTTTGTACTGACTGATTTGGGCTACACGGTGGTTAGGGATCGTGTCAGCATAGTAATCCAGAATTCGTCAATGTTCTAAACTGGTAGTTTTTTCAACATTACTACGTTCCAGTCACACCCTCTTAGAGCTCCCAAGCACAATCCCTTCTAAGATCTTGGCCCTCACTATTTCTTTGGCCAGCACTGTTCTTTGCTCAAGTTCCACTCAGTTTACCCCTCACTTTTGTCAAATCTCTATCCCCATTTCACCTCAGAGGTGTTCTATGGCCATTTCTCCTAAAGGAACACCCTCTCTGTCCTACCCACCAAGCCTCACTACTCTGATCTCCTTTACCCAGTGCCTTATTCATTTATTGGAGGACTTAACACCAATGGCAGAGTATACGTTTGTTTACTACCTATCTCATTCCACTAAAACATACTTGAAATACGAAGGACTCTGAACAGAGATTGACACAGACAGAGTATGTCCAGAGTAACTTTCGATGGTGGTGCTGGCATGAAAGGTAGAATTCTCTTGAAAGCAGAAAAGACCATACTAAAAATGGAGAAGTTCAGCGAAAAACAAAGTTACAAGAAAAAAGAATGGCATTTTGTGTAATTCCACATAAAGAGGGTTCCAAAACTTGTAAGCAAATTTCCTGAGTGATCATTCTTCACTAAGGTTAGTGGTAAAAATCATTCAAGTAAACAAATAAAAAGGACAGAAAAACAATAATCAAAAGACAGCTCAACTGGTGAATTAGCCTCTAGAGCAAAGAAAATTATCAGCAATAAAAAGAGAGAATTCATAATGATGAGCTTACCAAGATACAGATATAAGTCTACAGTACATTTACAATCCCAGATGTAAATCTATCAGATACCAGATACCAAAACTCCAATATAAAGAGAACTCACAGAACCGAAAAAGGAAACACAAATCCACAATTATGACCCGAGAGGTTTTTTTTGGTACCAGGGATTGAACTCAGGACCTTGCACTTGTGGGGCACGTGATGGCAAAACTGAGCTAAATCCCCGGCCCACGACCTTAGATTTTTTTATATTCCTCTCTCAGAAATGAAGAGAATTAGTACACAAGAAATCAGCAAAGACAAGACTAACATCAACCATCCAAAACCACATTTAGAGAACCCTTCACCTAGCAAAAGTTGGGATTCTTCTTAAGTGTATACAGAACATGAAGCAAGGTCAACCACACTCTCAGCCATAAAAGAAGTCTCAATACATCTAAAGGGATTAAAAGCATACAGAAAGATTCAAGGAAAATCCCCCAAATCCTGGAAAATCATGGAACAATGGACCAAAGGCTTAAAGAAGAAATCAAAACAGAAATTCCAAAGTATCTGAAAGCGAATGAAAATGAAAAAAACAACGTAACTGGAGATGCTGGAAAAACAGTACATAGCAACAAATTTATAGCACTAAGCAGCTATGACAAGAAAGGACTCAAATCAATGAGGTCATCTTCCACTTTAGGAAACTGGAGGAAGGGATTCAATCTAGTAAGAGGGAGGTAAAGGGGGTAGAACTACAGATGAAAGCAGAAATCCCTAAATTGGAAAACAAACAAAACTCAGAGAACATCCATGAAACCCAGTTCATTGAGATCAGTAAAATGAATGTATCTCGAGGGAAATGATCAATAAAGACTTAGGACACAAACTACCAATACTGGAAATGAGAAAGGTAAAATGACTCTTGACTTTACAAATATTAAAAGGATATTAAGAAATATGAGTAACTTTTAAAATAAACTTGACAAATTCCTCGAAAAATGAAAAACTCACAAAAAGTAGATAATAGCTCTGCATCTGCAAAAGAAATTAAATTTGCAGATGAAAACATTTCCACCAACAAACTACAGTTGCAGTTTTGTGAGTCAATGATACCAAATGTTAAGAAAAAATACCAATTCTGATATAAATTCACCCTCAAAATAGGAAAACACACTTCAACTTGTTTTGAGGATTTTTATTTTCTTTATCTCTTTATAGAAAAGCTTTACCCTCTTTATGGAGATTACACAACATCAAAACAAAATATCACAGAAAAAGAACAGATTAGTATTACTCATGAGCATAGATGAAAAAATTCTAAACAAACTATTAACAAATTGACTAATACCTAAAAATGACAATATATCACAACCAAGCAGTTTATCCCAAGAATAAAAGATTGGAAAATCTTTATGAAACATTAACTGATGTAGCCTGTCAAGCTAACAAATTAAAGAATCAAAATACCCCCCCCAAAAGCCATATGACAATTTCAAGAATGCAAAGTAAAAGCACTTAACAAATTCCCATTGTCATTCCTGATAAAAATTCTCAGGAAACCAGAGATAGAAGGGAACATCCTCAAACTAACAAAAATATCTTCAAAATCCTACAATTACTATTTCACCAACTAATGAAAGTCAGCTTCCCCAAGACTAAGAACAAAGAAAGTTGTCCAGTGTGGTCACCACTTTTATTCAACACTGCAATGGAGTCTTTGCCAGAGCAATAAGGCAAAAAA